GTTCTGAGCCTTCCCAAATGAGGCCCCATTTCTCTGTTCATCTCTGTGGTGCAGCCATGCAGGGTGATTTAAGGTCTTAGGACAGCTCCCAAAGGGGGATGCACTTAGCTAAGCCTGCCTATCATGATCAATGGTCATCCATTGGCGCCTATCTGTCTAGGGAGTGCCAGATGGACATCTGGACTGCATTCCTAAGTTTCAGGAGTAAGTGACTCATATCTCACCTTGATCAACCAATCAGGGACTGGTAGGGCAGAGTAACCCACGTGGGACTCTGATGCCCATGGAACGTTCAGCCAATCAATGAGCTGAAGTTCCTCCAGGTAAAAACAGGCAACACAGAGAGCCTGGGAGATTCAACGAGATTCAGATTCAGAAGGTAAGATTCAGTGAGATTCAGTGGACAATTCTAAAGGGAATTCAAAGGAGAATTCCAGGGCAGGGTGGCCCAGGAGCAGTAGGCTCCCTAGGGCAGGACATTCTCGCAGCGCGCCTCCTGACCATACTGAGACTCAGCCCGGACAACCACGGAACAGCCAGTGTGTCCGAGTGCCAGAACTTTCCTTTGTTCTAAGAGTCTAGAGCGGAGGTTGCCAGAGAGTAACCAGAGGATCCACCCAAGGCTAGCACCAGCAGCAGGCCTCATGAACAAGTCAGAACTGTGGACAGCTGAATCACTATTCAGAACTAGCTCTTCATCAGGAACGAACCGGTCCTCTTCCTGACTTGCTGGGACCCACAGTCATCTTTTCTCCTGTGCACAAACTTTGCTAGTTAAAGCCAACAGTGAGCATCAGCAGCGCACCGTCGCAAGCCGCACAGCACAGCCTGGCACGGAGCCAGAGAGCGCGGATTGGACAGCAACAGCCTGCAACTGCAACTTTGTGCCCGCAGGAGATCTGAATCCCCAGAAATTGGATGAGTATTCAACTTCAATGCATTACAGCTCGAGAATTCAATTGTTATCCCAACCAGTTGATATCAATTTAATTCCTAAGAGTTATGTACTTGTTTTGAGTATCTAATGTAGAAGTTATAACCAAGTTCACTTTACGAAACGGTCTAAATGAATGATATACTGAACATATGTCCTCTTGATATGTGTAACACTTTGTAACTGATTGAATATATACCTTTTGTATTCTGATAACCTTCTCGATAAGATCTGTTAGGTTTAAATGCATATTCTATGTATTGATAAATGTATCCTCGTGTATTAGTACCTGTGTGTGCGCGTTGTTTGAGTTATGTCGCATGGTTGGATTCTAAAGCCACCAAAAGAATCAACTTTGTGATTTACTGCTACAATTAATAATTGTCTCAGTAAGTGCCCAAACCCTACAGAACTGGTGCCTTCAGAGAGCCACTATGATTACATATTTGGCGTCCCTGAACCGGTTTTCTTACAAACCAAAACATGCTGTTTGCGGTACATAGGATATACAGTATATATATATACATGGACATTTTTAAGGTATGTTAGACTGCAGCTTACAAAAGCCGTTAATTGCATTCCTTGCCAAGTAGTTGCTCCAAATGTATGGCCTTGTCTCTGGTGTTGGTGAATCTCTTCTCTTGTCTTGAGAATCACCAGGCCTACTTTGTTCATGGCCTAATGGTTTTATGGCTGTGTCTGTGCAACTCTTATCTCTCCTTGAAAGAGCAGTTTGCAGTTCTTGTAGACTTTGTGGAGCAACAAGGAATAACAAATCCTCCATTATTCAGAGATGCAGGCATGAGGACTTGTTAGCAAGAACTTAGTACAAACATACCTTAACATCAAATAGCATGACCTATACAGCTTATCCAATTCAATGTCATAAAAGCCTATCCCAGGAATCAACAGGTGCAATGTGGAATATGCCCTGCAAAGGATGCCAGTCTATCACAGGGCACACACACCCACAAACACATTCACTTTCACAACAGGACCAATATCTATAGTAGGTAATTGATCTATGTAGGGACAAGGCCTATTGTTTCACTTGCAATTAAAAGATATTAAGTATTTCTAACAATCCATGTGTACCTACACCAAACAGCCTGTCACAGAAATGTAGCAGTCCCTTTTTTGTGATCAGCCACAGGATAACCTAGTGGTCTTTCATGTGAGTAAGTGAGGGAGATGAGCTTATCTTTTGGATAATCATCTCTTCTGCAGCAGTCTAGATCCATTTTCAATACTCCCTTATGAAAGAAGTCCACTGCTTGTGCCTGGATGTGTGGGAGAGGTATATCCGATGATAATTATAAAAGTCACAAGGCAAGATTAATCATCTCACAAGATGACCAACCAATCACGGACCTGCAGGGTGCGGGCACCCACTTCACCTGGTAGCTCTTGACCAATCACCAACCATATTCTCCCCAGAAAAAAAGCAGTGTGTGACCTCTAACTCTGCCAGCCTCCTCTCTCTCCTGAAATAATTTGGCAGACTGACAATAGAAACACGTGCCTGACACAATTGTTGTCTGAACTTTGGGACTTAAACTTTTTTACCAAAGCACAGAGTTAGAGGGCGAGCCCATATGTTGTTTTTATGTATCAATTAATGTATATTGTGTGTGTATTGTGAATCCTTGTTAAACCTCCTTGTTATTCTGCCGATTGATTCCTAATAGCCAAGGTAAACTCACAGAATTACTATTGCAACTAAATGTCATGCCAGTAAAAACCTTTACACTTAATAGGATGTCTTTGAACTGTGGTAGGTAACCAAAGCCCCCAGAATTAGTATCAGGTCATCTTAAATATATGATATTATTCTTTCTGCTTTAATGTGATGTTCTGTTTTTTTTTTTATTAATATTATATTGTATATTTCAAATATGTGTGCAAAGAGTGCTTGTTAAACAACTTGCCCCATCTCAGTAATGTACTGTTACAATTTCTAATTCTTTCAGTAAAATCAACCTACACATCAGTGCACTGTGTTGTTGTATATTTAAAAATAACAAGCTTAAAAATATGAAATTGAAGCTTCTGATTTGTTGTGAGGAGTTATTTACTCAAAGCAATATCACTCAGTTGTGTCCTTCAAGGCCTATTTGGTCTCTTTTCCTTTCATCCTGAGCTCTCAGATACCAAGATGTAGTAGATATTTGCCAAATCAAATAAACTTAACAAAAATTAGTAAAGTTACAATAGTAGTAGCACAGCCTTGCAGCTGAATATATTGCAGTGAAAAACTTAAATATTCTGGAAGAAAAATCTTTCCAAGCCATGTTTTGTGATGTTGTAGCCAATATGTCTTATTAGAATATTCCCTCCCATGATCATCTCAGCTTCTTAGCTGCATTAGCTGTGGAAATTGGTTACCACTTTACACTCTTAGAACTGTGTCACACAGCTTTAACAGTTTACAAAATACACAGTTCTCAACACACCCACTCATTTTATCCTAATCTCATTGTCTAGCAGAGCCTATAGGTTTGATGCCTGTGTGTATACTCATACACATTTGCAAATTATAGCTCACAAACTTGTTTTGGACACTAGAGAGCTTAATGTGAGAATAATAGAAACAATACTGTAATAACTGTTACTATTATCCAGTACGTTTTATCCAGTAATCCTTAGAAGACCACAACATGTCAGAACCTAATCTAGCAGGTGCAGGGCATAAGGACGGCTCACACTCTGGGTGACACTCCAGTCTATCACAAGGTACACACACAGGTACTAACTTAGAGGTCACTTAATTTGGGCTGCATGGTTTTGGAAGATTGAAGCAAACCGGAGCAATACTTCTACAATGGTATTAGTAATTGAAAACACAATAATTTAAAAGAAATTCCCAAGTATTTTTTATTTATTTTCAAACAGTGTCGCATATGTCATGTCAGTTGGAACTAGAACCAGCAGGTGTGTTGGTCCCTAGCACCAGCACTGGGAACCTCTATAAATAATATTTTTAAATAACATAGTTCATTATCAATTACTTTCAGAGGATATAAATGAATCCCATTCAATAAAAAGCTAAAAGCTTTACAGAAAGTTTAACCTTTCTGTTAAATCTGAGATTTGAGATTTTCTGCTAACAAGTCAACTAATTTAAAGTAGTTAAGAATGTATTTCCTTTTTGGTGTTCACACATCAAAGCAGTTTCTTTGAAAATAAAGGGTCCAGAACACAACCACCCTTCTCATTTCTCACAATGTCTGTGTCACATGTTGGAAAGTAAAACGACATCACCAGTTGTATCTCTCGCTTAACTTATCTTACAATATAGTTATGAGAAGATTGAGGACAAAAAATATACAATATTTCATTTGCAGGCATCCTTAATAAACCTATTTATACAAACTGTGTAAAAATCTAAATGATATGACAGTGAGAAGAGCAATGCATATACAAAGCATCTAAAAAATTGACAGGAATTATTAGTTGTAAAAATCCTCAAAACCCTGACGTGGTTAAGAGTAGTTTGACCTCTCATTTACTAACACAAACCAGTGTGGAATCCCCTCACCCAATCAAGTCACTCAAGCTGTTTTCTCCGCCTATCCTCCTGCTGCTTGACACTGTTTTTGAAGTCTGATTCCTAATTCCAATTCATATGCTTCATTAATCAAGACAAGCTGATCTGAACACAGATCAACTATGGTCATGATCAGATTCAGTGTGACTCTTGCATTGTTTTGTGATGTGTGTAAGTATAAATTCAATTTGATATTAGGATAAAATCAGCAGATTGTTATATTTTTTCTACTAGTACAAACTATTTTGAAAATTGCAAGTATTTGTTAAGTTTAATTTACTTTTTCTGACACTGTTTAAAAACAAGCAACACCCATTTCAGGGTAAAATAAAATCAGCAGTATAGATGTACTACTGTATATTTAATGCAACAAAAGAAAAAAAAGTATGAGTAAGCTGACTACCTGATTTAATTCTCACCTGAACTTTAGTTGAGCTGTAGTTAAATAAAATAAACTGATATATAAAATTTATAAGTTTCCTCCTCTGTTTCAATTATATTCTTTTTGTTGTATTTCAGGTATGGCTAACATTGATAACATTGTCCAGCCCAGCATCTTGAAGATGGTTCAGCCTGGAGACAGTGTTACTCTGGAATGCTTTTTACCTTTTGACAAAATTTCTTACATGCTTTGGTTCAAACAGACAATTGGACAGGGACCTCGATGTATACTAAGATCATATTATTTGTCTAATGACACCACATTTTTTGATGAGTTTAAAAAATCACACTTCATGGTGGAAAAGAACACAGGAAAAGGATTTTTTCACCTGATAATTTCTAGAACAAAGAAATCAGATACAGCAACGTATTACTGTGCAACAGCTTACACAACACAAGTTATGTTTGGGAACGGAACCCTCGTGATCGTTAAGGGTAAATGAGAATCTTGCATTCTATATAGTAACAGTCTGGAATATTTATGAATGTGCACTAATAAATATAAAACATTACTTAGTTAATGACAGTGACAGATTGAAGACACGATTGATAATATCAATATCATGATTATATACTTAAAAATCAAACTGCAGCTGAGTAATGAGGTTTATGGAGATAACTGATTTATTTTTACTTACATTTAGGCAATATTTAACAACAACAATAACAATGATATAATTAGATATGAAAGCATCATTAATGAGGTATCACATCAGTTACTGTAAGAATAGTATTAGAATTTTTTTTAATTCATCATAAGGATATAAATATATTATAATAAATATGCATAATAAAAATTGTATACAGCTTGCATATTTGTAGTTTACCAAACTTGTCTATAAAATAGTATCTTATACATTTTCACAAATTTCTGTTTTAAATTTTTTAAAAAAGTAATGTACAACATAGAGGTCAAACAAGTCTCCTAATGGTTATAACTGTTTTTGCAGTGGCGGCTTCTTAGAAAGCTGGAGTCAATATCGTATCTCTTCTTATTGCCTTAATATTTTATAAGAAATATCAGAATTTGGTGCTGTTTATGTTTGCAATGTTTTGAAAACGACAATCTTTTAATTAAGAAAAAAGACAGTGATTAAATGTTTTACGAAATGAAAAAAAAAATCAATAACCCATGCACACCTCCAGAATTGTTTTTTTTTTGCATATGTGAGTCACTGTTGAAAATGCTGAAAATGAGATAGGTGCATAATACTCATATACATATAATTTGTTATAATTGATTTTTTCATACCTCAATATTTGGTATTATACAGTATTTGAAGACATAATTGTATGTATTTGATTATTAATTTTATCTTTTCTTTTAATTTTTATCAAAATTATTGTACTGTTTTATGTTTTAAGTTTTTATAAACAACTGTTATATGATCTTCACCATAATAGTCTTGATGTGTAGCTAAACTTTACAATAATATACACACTATATATTATTACTATTACGTAGTTCTGTTTATTTTTATTAATTTTTTTGGATATTTATTTGAGATTGCAATTTATAGATAACTTGAGTTACAGTAGATAATTCACACTTTCTTAACTCTATAATTGTTATTTTTAGAGTCAGGGTTGATAAGCAGGAGTGTTGTACAGCAGCCTGTGTCAGTCCCAGTCCAGCAAGGAAATAATGTGACTCTGCAGTGCACAATACACACTGAGACCTGTGCAGGAGAGCACAGTGTTTATTGGTTCAGACATGGATCAGGAGAATCCCTTCCAGGAATAATTTACACCCAAGGAAACAGGAGTGATCAGTGTGAGAGGATCTCTGTGGCTAAGCATCCTACACAGACCTGTGTCTATAACCTCCCCAAGAGGAACCTCGGCCCCTCTGATGCTGGAACTTACTACTGTGCTGTGGCTATATGTGGGGAGATCTTGTTTGGGAATGGAACAGAGCTGGAGATTACAGGTAAAGGTGAGTGAACAATAATAATAATAATCCTATTACTTTGAAATTTTCATCACGTCACATAGAAACATTTGAAATGTCTGAAAAATGTTTTGCCTTCACACCTTCTACATGATAAGGTAACTCTAAAATAAATATCTCTATGCTTATTTTTTAAAACACTATGTATGCCAATATATTTCTATATTTAAATGTTCAAATGGATTTGGATTTGTAGTTTTCTCACATTTTTTGATCTGGCAAATCCAAAGCTGCTGTACATGAGAAATTGCATGTATGAACAAATATTTACAATGAAACCTGAATTAAAAAAGGACAAAAAATTGTCTTGATTTTTTTATTGAAATTGTGTTTCATTTATGGTGCATTTCATAACCATGGCAACTTGTTTCAGGAAATATTGATCAAATTCTAAGTCATCCCTTTTTCCTTGGCTTGTTGGTATCTAATGCCGTTTGTGTGATGGTGATCGTTGTTCTCAACTATGCAATACTGAAGAAAAAAAGCAATCTGTGTACAGGTCAGTGGATTAAAAATCAACATAAACATAAAAATAAATATGATGTTAAAGAAATAATACTGCTGTTTGCAACTAAATACTAAGATTCATCCCAAAATATGAATTTCAGATAGTTATAGCTTTAAAGAAGGATTGTGTTGTGTTTTAAAATCTTTGTCCATAATCCTCTGAAAAAATAAGTAATATATTATTAAAAAATCACAAATTTCATTTCAGTTTCAGTGATTTTCTTTATTTTAACTCAGAGGGCAGATAATGTGTGATGATAATTCACTGTATGTCTTCTTATCAGGACATATTTCTCAGCAGAGCCTCCATGAACACACCACTGTGGATTCCTCAAATAAACAGGTACTTTATTGGCTGCTGAACTAAAGTAATAAAATGTATAAACATTTCATAAACAGTCATAGTAATAAAGAATATTTGATTAAAAATAAGACATATAGAGCCTGTAATTGAAAACACAATTCATGTTGCCTTAGGATTAAAATGAATGCTGTCATTATAATTAGTGAGGTCTGACATTCCAAATGTATTATCCTCTTCATCAGCCCCCAAATTATCAACATTTTACAAAGTGGTCCTATCTTTAGTCTTTTTTCATATATAATTTGTTATAAATACTAAGAGCTTCACATGAATTGTAACTGATTTATAATTTCTTCTGTTCGCTTTCTCAAGAGGTTTTGCTTCAAATACGTGAATCATATTAGAGAAACATTTTGACAAAAGTTAATGCAATGCTTGCAATAGTTCAGATAAATTGCAAAAATTGATTATTTTTATGAAAATGTGATTTAGTGTTATTGATATTTTCAATAAAATTAATTACTTAATTTCATCAGAATGAAAAAAAAGGAATAGTATGTGGACAGTTATTTAATTCTGGTATTTGCAATAGGGACACAGATAGCAGGCAACAAGCTGAGAAGATAATCTGTCTGGTTTGGAATATTTCATATATATTAAATAAATATAATATATAATAAATAAAAATGTGTTACCAGTATGACATTCAGAGGTATTACTGTGTTATTTCTAATGATAACTACCAAGTGAGGGTTCAGGAAGAGAAGACAGAAACCCTCCTCAATTTTTCAGTTGTTCTCTATTTAAACCTCAAGTTCTCAAATGCATACGTTTGAAGTTTTGAGTTCCCTCGATCTCCCTCCTTCTGCATTATCTTTTAGTTTTCCCCTAGGTTGTCCCCTTCCCTTCTTTCACCTTGACCCCTCCTTCAGTTCCCTGAGCTCTCAGCTCCAAGTCATTAGGCAGTGTCTCTCAAATTTACTCTCTCCAATTCAGGTGACTACTTCTATGAACCTTCTCTTCCTTGTGTCCCAAGTACTTAAATCTCAATTGGTTCAGCTTGGAGTCCTCCAGCTATTCCAAAACTATTCCTGATAACAGTATCATGCAAAATGGAATCTGACTTCCTTCTCTATATTTGAGGGATTAGCTCCCAGTCATGAGACTGCACCTCTTGAAGTGACTCTTAACAAGTTTGGGGATCTTTTTGTTTTCAGACCCTGGATACCATTAGGCTAGCCAATTCACAAACAATCATAAACAAAGTATCCACACTAAAAGTTCAAAGGATGGTCCAGGAGACCCTTTCCTACCCTCTACTAGCTCAGGCTTCTTCCAGTGAAAAGTGTGATGTTACTGTTTTTTCAGAACGAGGACACAGATGTGCTGAATTATGCTGCCTTGAGCTTCGCTGACTCTAAAACTAAGACTGGGAAGAAGAGGAGAAAAACAGACAGACAGTCTGTGTATTCTGAAGTCAGATATGAACAGCACAACTGAAAATTATGTTTCTGCATTCCAAAAACGAATAGTAACAACAGTTCTAAATTTGAATGAAACAAAAAGACTGAAGTGCCTCTGTTTCTGCCTCTTTGGCACTGTTTGTAAACATAGAAAATATGTTCTACTATCTTATTGATATTCTGTGATAATACTGTAATAATACTAATAAAATGTAAAACTAATGTTAAAATACTACGTTAATATGAAGAATATTAAACTGTAAAACCATTCTTTCTGGCATATTTCTGTATATTAATATTTTTTTAAGATATAATAATACTATAGATTTCTAGTTGAATGACAATTTGCTGGATACAATCCAGCAATAAAGATTTATGACACTGCACCTAAAATTAGTGTAACAGAGTAATTGTTTCACTGAGTTGTATGTGTTGGCTTTCCCTAGTTGTGTGACATCAACTAGAAACAGATAAAGAGCAAGAAGATCTAAACAAGACAGTGACAATAATCTTATAATTCTAATTTCTACAGATGCAGCCATTCAAAGTGCGCAGTACAGACACGTACCAGAGGTAATTGGCTACAGCATCGCGCATCGTGACGCACGATGACACAAAATACCGCGGTACGTGATTGGTTGACCGACGGGCACTCGTGGTCCGTTGGTCGGTCTAGAAAGATTTACAGTAAATGTCTTTACTGTGCCCATTTTAGTATTGAATATTTATATGGAATTTTACCACTGAAGGGAAATCTTAGTAGCTGAGCATAAAAAGAATAGGAGCATACTGTAACGCGTGTGAAGGCCATAAACAATATTAATTTTGGAACATAAACATACAGTATATGGCTGGTCTCGGTACCTTAAATAAAAAATACACACCAGTATTCCATTTCTCCCTAAACATTTTAAGCTTCGAAGTCTTTAACTAATGTGATACCGGAGTCAACAAGCATACTTTTAGAATTTGATTAAAAGGGAATATAATATGGAATCATGTATCTTAAGAAATTCATAACGATAATTATATTCATGTACCGCAACACAAGAATAGTACACGCTGTACATTGTCTGTTGATAATGTTTCTGTAGAGCTTTTTCAGCACTCTGCATGTGACCTTGCCGGTGGCGCTGTGGTTTAGGTTCCTGACTCCCACGTCACACGCTCTGTGTTTATCCACTGGAGCCATGACTTTTTTTTAACAAACATTTCTTTGAAAAAATAAAACGTTTCCCTGGGTCGGAGATTAAATTAAAACCTCACTCGCACCAAACAAATTTATATTTCTAAATATCACAACATGATCGAATTTAAGTCATTTTAATAACAATGAATAGTCACCTACCTAATTTTCTCAGGTACTAAGATTTCCCTTCAGTGGTAAATTTCCATATAAATATTCAATACTTAAATGGGCACAGTAAAGACATTAAATATACATACACATACTGTATACAGTACAGTTTGCATACAGTAATATGTTTATGTTCCTAAATTAATCTCTTTTATGAGCATGTGAAAAGCATGGTAAATCGATTCTCAAAAATTACTGTACTTTGCATGATTGGAAACAAATGTGTGATTGCGAAATGCTGTGGTGTTACTTTTACAAAGACGGTAAATGAAAAAAAGAACGTGGACCAGGGCAATACTTTGAGTTTACAGCTTGTCCAAGGTCATTCATTATTAATACTATTAGTAAGACTTTGATGGCGACAGCTCAAACATGAGAGGTTGAGCTTTATTAGCTCCACCTTGCGGAAATTCCGGATACTATTATTTTACTTGCGGTATTATAGGAGAATTTATGGTAACTCGTGGTAGACTGCATAAAGTGCACCACAAAATAATGCGGTATCGCCCGCTTGTTTTGAATGGCTGCATCTGTATATCTTTCTTCCTCTACAATCTGTGGGATAGTAGAAGAAGGACGTTACAGGACTATGACTGATTTTCTGGCCTCTTACTTCACTTCTTTTTCTCCCATCTCTTCATTATGTTTTTTTTAATCAAAGTTAAAGTAAGGTGACATTGGTGGGGGGTAAAAATAATGCATTTTGTGTGTACCAGTGAATCTATGGAAACTGTTATCTATGAGCATTCCTTCAGAAAAGTTACACTTTTTATATCTGTATATGTACAGATGCAGCCATTCAAAATGCACGGAGTACGCTATGGAAAAGTCATACCGCAGTTATGATAAAAGTATCTGGAATCACCTTGTAAAACCACCAGGTGGAGCTAATAAAGCTTAACCTCTCTAGTAGAACATTTGAGCTGTGGCCAGTTTTAATTTCCGGTCACTGCTGAAAGACAATCTCTTTCCAATTAAGAATTTAAGTTGTACACTCTTTAGATTTTTAATAATTTTAAACTGTGTATTACAGCATGTGTATCATTAAACATAAGAAAGTTGGTAAATTTTATAAAAGCAAGACTGCTCAGTTGGACAAAAGCACACAACTTTCAAGCTTCATCATAAATATTTTAATGATGTAGAAATATTTTATGCATCAAAGTCTTTACGGAAGATATTACTAACAATATTAATTATGAATGACCTTGGACAGGCTGTAAGCTCAAAGTATTACTGTGGTCCACTTTCTTTGTAACCGTCTTTGTAAACGAAAGTTTTACAATTTATTTTTTCATTGACAAAAAGTAATACCACAGCATTTCGTTGATACGATCACATATTAGTTTCCTACCAAGTAACTTTTGAGAATCTCTGACTCACCATGCCTTTCACATGCTCATAAACGATAATAATTTAGGAACATACACATATTATGTAAACTGTAAATGGCTGGTATTGGTAGTTTAAAGAAAAAATACACACCAGTATTCCACTTTCTTCCTAAACATTTTAAGCATCAAAGTCTTTCATTCGATTACATACTGTGGTTATTTTGAAAAAGTTTTTACATGCTCCTTTTTACTATATTAAGTTTCTATACTTTGTAAAAAGTTATAATGTTTTAACCTTTTCTGCTAATATGCTTGTTATCGCAGTAAACAAAACCATACTTTTTAGAATTTGATTAATAGGGAATATAATATAGAATCACATATCTAAAGAAAGTAATAACCATATAATTATATTTATATACTGTAGCTCAGTATATAAATATACTGAGCTACTTTGAAAATGTCTCCATCTTTCTTTGAAAATGTCTCCATCACTCCTTCCCAGGTGATTACATCTATGGTGTAATGGGTTAGGTGTATGCTTTCCATGTTGATTAATAGGGAATATATTATGAAATTAATAACGAAATAATTATATCCATGTACTGCAACACAAGAATAATATACTCTGTACAATGTCTGTTGATACTGTTTGTGTAGGGCTGTTTCACCACTCCTCATGTGAACTAGCAGGTGGTCTAGGTCTATGTCCCTGACTACTAAACCACAGGTTGGGTGTTCAAATCCAGCTGGCGCCGTGACTTTTATTTGAACAAACATGTCTTTGAAAAAATAGATTAGCAATATTATGGACAATTAATTGACAAATATAAATATAGAAAAGCACATATTAAATTTGTGAAATTTGGTTTCTGTCAAAGCCCAATTAAACCTATAATTTGATTCTTATGGACGTCCAGTCACTCCATGGATTAAAAAATAAACATGCAATCACGTATCTAAAGAAATAACAGTATACTGTAACTATGTTCATGCACAAACAGTAGCATGTTACATTATTAGTTTGGTGTCTCCTCTTGCCAGAAAGCTCTAAATTGCATTTTGAGTGCGGTTTTTGACTTTTTTTAAATTACAACCCATAAATAAAGCTGATACTGTTTAGACTTTTATTTTAAGCTGTATTACAGCAGCACAATGCACAATACAACGTAAATCCCTACCTTTGTCTTCTGTGTAATAATGTTCAGAAATAAGAAATTAGATTGCTCATAAATCTAATCACTTATTCTACATAAACACAGCGTAATTGCTCTCTGAAAATGCTCTTTTTCTTGTTCGTTTTGGAGACCTTGATCGAAACTGATTTGAGATGTCAGAACGGATTTATTTTCTGTGTATTTCTGTGTGCGCATTTCCTACATTGCTTCGTTTGTCGAGATTTTAACTTTATATTTAGGCTCAGGATTTCAACTATAAATCGCACATAATTACTAGCAGTAAATATTGATGTTTTGCTCCCTTAGCCATGAGATATACAATAGATTGTTATTAAACAACCTTATGTTTATTAATCTTCCTTGTTATGCACGTGAGAATGGTAATGCATTTCGTTGATCCGATCGCAAATTATTTTCCAGTCGCACGATGTAAGTGTTGAGAATCTTCGATTCACCATGCTACTAATGGTTTCTCGGAGATTGCAAGGCAAGGCACTTTTGCCTCTGGACCCAGCGAAATTTACCGATGTGGTCCTCACCCCAGTAAATTTCAAAAGTCACAAGTATGCCGGAACATACTGTCTCCTTCTTCTGCATCTTCAGGTGTGTCTCTAACCTCCCAATCCTCCCCAGTAATGCATTGTACTGCTCCTGCTGCTGCCGAAAAGTCTCCATACAAGTGCTGCTTCTACAGGTTGGCACCCTGGCCAGTGGCCAAGAGAAGAGACCCATAGCCTGTGGCAAAATAACATAATTCATGTAAGAAATAAAGTCACACAGTAGTATTCATCACTTGCGGAACAGACGTCAAAATAAACTTTTCTTGTCATCTGTCTTACCGCTTTCTTTTTTACTGTCCTGGTGGTAGATTTTTAAGATCGTTTCGCCCGTGCTGTGTTTTCCTGAAGAACAGGCTGCGAAGAAATATTTATAATTGAATGTATAATTCAAAACGGCAATAATACCTTGTAATATGCACTAATATCATTTCAGATGACGCCTGCTTTATTTGCTTACCCTTCGCTCTTTGCAATCTGGGGCGGCAGAAGCACCTCGTTTCTTCCCGTAAAAGGGAAGTACTATGGTCACTGTAGTGCAGGCTCGCAGTTTTTTAAAAAAAAAAACACATTGCCCGATGTTAAAAAAGCATCTTGCATCAAATTGCTTGAAAAATAATTTTATTTCGAGAGGCTGGATAAGTAATCCAAGTGTTTTTTAACTTCCTGAAAAACAGGTAATAATTTAACAATACAGTATGTGCAAATGTTTTATGATATGTCGCTGTTATGAATGTCTGTAGAGTGTATCTTATTTTTAGTTTTGTAGCCAAAGGGCCTTGCAGATCAGATCAGA